GCCGAACATAGTTCGGCCAAGAGTATTCTGACAAAGAGAGAGACCTTCAAGAGTTTAGCATGTCACCAAAGGGCGAGTGCTGAAAGATATCCGCGGCGGTGAACTCCATGAATGGTGCCCAATCAGCTTCGATGGGCACGGATGCGCGCGGTCCGGGACTTGCGGCCGGAAACAAGTCCAGGGGTCCGACGACACAGATTTCCTTAGAGGTGGAGTCTATGTTCGGCTCCAACGCCGATGAGTATGCGGCCTCCATGGTGGGGTCCATCCACCCATCCTCGGACGACGTGATCTGCTCCGGATTTAGGTCCGGAGCTGCTGTAGGTGTGGTATCCCGAATACTGTCCGACAGCAAATCTTAGTCGTGCTCGTCGTGACCGTTCGGCGCTCCCAGCGTAGGCCCGGATCCGTCGAAGATCATGTTTCCGTGGATGTCTGTCGTGTAATTCAAGTTTCCGAATCTGACCTGATGGCCAGGGGCATAGTTGTCGATCTGCTCCAGATGGCCAAGCGAATTGGCCCACAGTGCGAAGCCGCCGAACACGAAGATCTGTCCGGGGAGAAAAGTCTCACCCTGGACCGTGTTGTTGTTGATGATTGAAGGAGCCATCGAGCCTTTACAGCGACGACACAGAGGAACTCTCAATGAAAGCACCAATGTCGGTGTCAAAACCGGCGGATCTCGGGTAGGGGGTCCCGAACTGTGCGTCTAAGGCTAATGGTAACAGGAGGCTGGGGACACGATGTTTACCCAGGTTTGGGCCCTCTCGATGGAGGTAATACCCTACTTCCTGCTTGATTGATCTTGATGATATGAGTATTACAAGAGTTGATCTACCACGAGATCGTAGAGGCTAACCCCTAGAAGCTAGCCTATGATTCTGATTGTTCTTGTCCTACGGACTAAACCCTCCGGTTTATATAGACACCGGAGGGGGCTAGGGTTACACAGACTCGGTTACAGAGAAGGAGATCTAACATCCAAATCGCCAATCTTGCCTTCCACGCAAAGGAGAGTACCATCCGGACACGAGACGAAGTCTTCAATCTTGTATCTTCATAGTCCAACAATCCGGCCAAAGTATATAGTTCGGTTGTCCGGATACCCCCTAATCCAGGACTCCCTCAACTGGGTCTGACTTATTTTTTCACTTGCAAGCCCAATTGGGCCTGACTTTTTTTGACATCTGCTTCTCGACCTATTTTTTGTTCTAAGTTACAAGTTCACTGTCAACTCGCACTTGAGATCCCGCCAATATTTTTTCCATAGTTGCAAATCCACACTCTATGCGCAACTAGGCCCGAGTTTTTTTTCTTTGTCCCAGTTACTAGTCCACCCTTGGCTCATATATGGTACTATCATTTTCTTATTCCCGCTGACTTTTTTTGCCCCAGTTGAAAGCTCATCCTTGACTCGCAACTGGGCTAGACCATATTTTGTCCCAATTGCAAGCCCACCCTTAACTTGCAGCTGGCCCCAGACCCTTTTTTCCAGTTTCAAGTTCACCCTGAACCGACAACTGGGCCCGACATTTCTTATCTGTTGTAGTTGCAAGTCCACATTCGACATGCAAAATGGCCTTGGCCTTTTTTTCCTGTTTCAAACCCACGCTTGACTTGCAACTAGAACGACATTTGTTCACCCCAGTTGCAAGTCCACATTCGACATGCAAATGGCCTTGACCTTTTTTTCCTGTTTCAAACCCACGCTTGACTTGCAACTAGGATGACATTTCTTCGTCCCAGTTGCAAGTCCTTCCTCGACATGCCACCGACGAAAACCTATTTTTGCCCAAGTTGCAATACCGCGGCATGAAACTAGGCCTTGACCTTTTTATCCTTAGTTGCAAGTCCATCCTCAACTCGCAACTAGGCTTGATTTTTTCTGTCCATGTGGGAAGTCCACCCTCGACACGCAACTGAGCTTGATTTTTTTGTCCAAGTGGGAGGTCCACCCTCGACACACAACTAGGGGGTCCAACTCCTTTTTTTCCTAGTTGCAAACACAGGCAATGAGCACTCTTGAGCACATTGTTGAAACATTCAACCAGGTTGCTCGTCATGTCGCCATATCGCCTACCTCCATCGTCATGAGCGCGTGCCCACTTGTGCTTCTCATTGAAATTCCTAGTTCGTTTTCCAGAAAATCGCCTGGTTTGTTCGTTTTACACCGCTCTTTAGTGCTTACATAACCACCTGAGTCCTGATTTCTTTTTTCTTTTTGAACTACGGTTTGGTTGTCCGTTGAAGAAAACACACAGTCAAAACAAGTGGACAAAATAAAACACAACACAAGTTTCTAAAAAACAAGAAAAACAATCAATTTGCCTATGACATCACTTAGACTGGTCATAGTGGGGAGTATCATATACTAGTATAGTGCATATGATACTAGTGTATGATACTACATTCATAGTGCATAGTATCATAGATTAGTATCATGAGTCGTCTCATTTATTGTCATGCATGACACATAGTAGCATAATATTTATTATGATATGGTACTCTCTCCATTTTTATTTACTCTGCATATTAGAGTTGACTGAAGTCAAACTTCATAAAGTTTGACCAAGTTTATAGGAAAAAATATAAATATTTACGATAACATATCTATATGATGCGAAAGTACGTTCAATAATGAATCTAATGGTACTGATATGTTCTTGTGCATGTTAATATTTTTGTCTATAAACTTTGTCAAAGTTTATAAAGCTTGACTTTGACCAAAACTAATATGCGGACTAAATAAAAACGGAGGGATTATCTACCTATATTACTACTCTCTCTTCTTTAATTATTTGCCACATAATCATGTTTGTGAGTCTGAAGTGCATGATACCACTTTATGTTACCCCCACTATGGTCAGCCTTAGATGTGACATCATCTAGATGAGCTGTAGATAGATCTTTTAATAGACACACATTCATATGTTAGACTTAGGCTGGTCATAGTGGGGAGTAACTTAGACTAGTAACATGCACATGTTACTATTCTATGTTACTACCTTTATAGTGGAGAGTAACATAAGTGTGATAACATATAAATCTTTATTTATTGCTTTGTAGACTCATTTTGCATTGGGAAGCGCTATGTGATGGTAACATATTATGTTACTCTATTTGCCTCTCTCTTCATTAATTGCCTGACACATCACCTTCTTTGCTTATATGGCATGTATGTTACTACCTATGTTACCTTCATTATGACCATACATATGTCAATTATTTGGGAGATCATTACAATCAGTGCGAGATTATTTACGATGTACTATAAGATCATTATAGACTTCTCATCTCATAAATAAGAAAGTACTAGTATCAATTATAGAAACCGAAAGAAAATAGAGTATTTCTGCAGTTCTAGGGACCCTATCGAGTTGGTGCGCGTCGCCCCTCCTCCCCTGTCCCTCCCTCCATCTCGCTGCCCGTGCCCGACCACTACCCGCTGGCCTTCTACTTCCTCCCGTCCCCGACCCTCTTCGCCCTCGCCCGCCTTCCTCTCCGAGACTCCGACCCGACCAGCACCTCCTCCTCCCCTCTCCCTCATGCGGCGGCGCGCTTCGACGGCCGACCGGCGCCTCCTCCCGCATCCTCTCCCTCCCGGCTGGCTTCTGCGTCGAACGAGCGGACCTCGATGTGCTCAGGCTGCTGTCTCTGTACATGAGCTGGAGCAAGGGAATGTGCTTGACCCCGTGCAGTACTTGGTTGGGGATGGAGGCTCCGTTCGACGCCGCACACAAGGCAATGCGCTGCTCGGTGGCTATGCCTATGCGGAGTCCACTGGCAGCAACAATGAGTGAACTAGTGATTGTTTTGACACTTCCTGTCATTGTTGATTCCTTCGAATCATATAACTTCTATAGCTGTGGGTAATCTAATAATTTTGTTCTTTAATCTGTTGGCTGCATGATAAATCAGCTAATAAAACTGACTATAAATTTATACAGCCTACTACTGTTCATGTTAGATTCGATACAATTCTGTTTGCTATCAATCTAGCTCACTAGGATCAAAGATTTCTTCTAATAGCTGAGAGTAGATGTGTTTTGTTATATGGAATTAAGCATCCAAACAGAAAGACAAAATGAAATACTACTTTCCAGTTAGTGCTCCATCTTAAGAAACTAGGTACTGACAAATCCGGAGAGCCGCTACATATGGTAGGGATAAGGCTTGCAGCAACTTTTCTGCAACATCACATAATATTACTCTTACTTCAGCTAGATGTAACAATAGTAAATACTCCCTCTGTAACTTAATATAAGACGTTGTTGACATTGTCATAGACTCTAAAAACGTCTTATAAAAAGTTACAGAGGTAGAACAATACCGAATATTATTCCACAAGTGAAAGCAGAGTTTCGACCACATGGCTCATGGTCGGTCTTCTGCTCCTGTCCTCTTGCACACATGATATTGCTATCTTAAGCATTACTGTAGCTTCTGAATGGTTGAACTGGTGATTGTTTTCACACTTCCTGTCATTGTTGATTCCGTTGAATCATATAAGTTCTATAGCTGTGAGTACTGAGTAATCCATTAAATTCTGTTCTTTAATCTGTCAGCTGCATGATAAATCAGGTACTCCATCTAGATTTGATACATTTCTGTTTGCTATCAATCTAGATCACTAGGATTGCATATTTCTTCAAATAACTGAAAGTAGATGTGTTTTGTTATATCAACCTAAGCATCCAAACAGAAAGACAGAATGAAATACATAGTACTCCTAGTTACTGGATAGTACTCCATCTTAAGAAACTAGTTATTGGTACAAATCCGGAGAGTCTCTAGATATGGCAGGGAAAGGCTTGCAGCAATTTTTCTGCAACATCACAGAATATTGAGGAACAGAGGGAGTAGTCAGTACTCCCTCTTAAGAAACTAGGTATTGACACAAATCTGGAGAGCCGCTACATATGGCAGGGATAAGGCTGCGACACCGCATAATGTTATTCTTATATCAGCTAGATGTAACAATAGTAATACAATACTGAACATTACTCCACAAGTGAAAGCAAAGTTTCGACCACGTGGCTCATGCTTGGTCTTCTGCTCCTGTCCTGTTGCACACATGATATTGCTATCTTAAGCATTACTGTAGCTTCTGACTGGTTGAATTCTCCATCCAATCTGTGGTCAACAAACTCCAGAAGCCATGACTGGTCTTCGCCTGCTAGTTTTTCTTTAAGGATTTCAATAGAGCATATACCAGCCATTTCAACCTCCTCCTCGCCCTCAGCCACCCATCTGGAAAGACGAACCCCCTTCACTAACTCAAGAAGCACTACGCCGTAGCTGTAAACATCGGCCTTCCCATTGATTGGAAGATTTAGAGCCCATTCTGGTGCAATGTAGCCTCTAGTCCCATGCACTTTTGACAACATATGTGCGCCTGATCCTCGCTGTTGTAGCTTCATCAGTCCAAAATCTGCAATCTTGGGCTGAAACTCTCTATCTAACAATATGTTCTCTGGCTTGACATCGCAGTGCACAATCCATTCAAGACACTCATGATGGAGATAGGCCAATCCTTTTGCCACCCCAAGTGCAATATTGTACCTTTGGCCCCATTGGAGCACAGGAGAATCACTCTGGTGATCAAAAAGAACCGCGGCCAAAGAACCATTCTCAATGAACTCTGAAACCAAGAGCTTGTGTGTCTTCTCGACACAAAACCCCCAAATTCTGACGAGATTCATATGATAGATTCTGCCTATGACACTTAGCTCAGACCTGAACTCCTGCTCTCCTTGGATCACATCGTTTAGCTTCTTCACTGTGACCTTCCTTTCATCATCGAGGACTCCCTTGTAAACTGCTCCTGATCCACCGCTTCCTAGCTCTTCTTGGAAGCAATTGGTTGCCTTCTGTAACTCCCTGTAGCTAAATATTCGGAACTGGCTGGAAATTATCGTGTAACCTTCATCTACAATCTCTGGTCTTCCCTCCCATTTGTGAACAACCCAACAGCCGGCGATGATTAATATAACTTCAATGAAAAGCAGTGTCAATGCAGAAGAAAGGAAGTAGCCAAACTTGAAGTTAGAAGAGCCATCCTGGAACATTAGCGATGAAGTGTTGGCCTCCTTTTGATGAACTTTGCATTCATGGGTTACCGTAGAAGCCAATTCTGATGAAGACAACACTCCCCTGGGAACTTTGAGATAAATGTCAGTGTGAGGGTTTGGAAAGTTCTTGCCGTTAAAAAGATAGACCTTTGTGAAACATTTTCCTTCTCCCTGCCGGTAACCAAAGGCTTGGCAATTAGCATTGTCCAGGCACAAATCTTTGCAGTTCCGAATTGTCACCCGCTCCCAGTAGAGCAAGTCATACCCACTGAAATCTGCTCCCGCGACCTTTCTGAATGAGAAATCCTGGGTGGCCCTGAGGTTTGCCTTGCGCCTGCACCCTTTGCTCCAGTCGCTTGCATCGACCACCTCAAAGCCTCTGAGGCAAGAGCACTGGAGCTTGGGTATGTACTTGCAGAGGCTGTTTTTGCCGCAGAGTCCATGAATATTGCAGACTCCGCGGAATACCATCCAAGAGACTGACCAGCTGCCGGTTGTCGCGTTCAGGCTGTAGAGCCTAAGGTTGCCATCGTAATCCAGAGTCAACCTCCTCATGACATTATCACCGAGATCAGAAGCTTCAAACTTGAAGTTGTCGCTCGCGGCAAACCGGCCTCTCTGCTCAAGAACCCCATACTGGCTACTGTTGTAAGTAGTCCTGTGATTCACAAGCGGGGTGGTGAAAGGGTCAGGCCAATATACGCTACTGACCTCAGGGCCGTTGTAGATGAGCTTGAGCTGGTTGTCATTGTCAAAGTAGAATGCATACAACCCTGAGTAGAGCAAACCCCTGGCAGATGCAGACACCAGTTTTGTGTGCCGAGTCATCGGCTGCGACGGCAGAAGCGTGTCGGTGGGCGAGTCGAAGCTCCCCCAGAGGCGCCGGCCGTCCGCGTCCACGACGACGAGGTCGCCGCTGTCGAGGAGCTCGGCACGGCTGGCACGGGTCGCGGTCGTGTTGGTGCTCCATACGGCCGCGCCATTGTAGTCGAGCAGGGCCAGTGCTCCGTCTTTCCGGAAGGCGAGCCTGGACCCCCTGCCGTTCACCGGCGCGTCGCGGTTGGCCGTCGACGAGACGGTCTTGGGCGCCGCCGAGCCGCGGAACCAGATGGAGAAGGTGTAGGCGTTGGTGGCCACCCTGTAGAAGCCGCAGGCGAAGACGCCATTGGGCGACGCCAGGATGGTCATGGTGGTGGCCCTGGTGCCGTCCTGGATGGACACCGAGGAACCTCTGACGAGGTAGCTGGTGCTGGTGACATGGGTGTGATCCTTTGCGAGAGCAACGGGGATGAGCAGGAGGAGTGAGATGGAGGTTGCGAAGGTGTAGGCACCTCCTCTCGTGGCCGCCATGGCAGTCGTCCTCTGGTTCTTCCTACTGATGCATCCAGTCGTACAGCCATGTAGGAGTATATATCACACACAAGAGTGTCGAAAAAAAGAGTGTGTTCACGTGTCAAGTTGCCAAGTTACTGTAGTAAGTAGCATGGACCTGGACGGCAAGTCCTTTTAGAGCATTACTAGTAGAGCCCTCAAACCCTCAAACCCCTGAAAATAATTGTTTTTTTACAGTTTTCGTCGAAAAAACGCCGTAGACTAGAACCTCTAAACCCTCAAACCCGTAAAAAAATTTAGAGGTCCAACCCTCAAACGACTTTGCAATCTGTAGAAGTAGGGGTTGAGGGGAAAATCTCCTCCCAACCCGCACTCCTCCTCGTCGCACTCCTCCTCATCGCGCGGGAGCCAACCGCTCCTTCTCCGCTCCCGCCGCCTCCCGCCGCGCCGGCCATGG